TGAACAGTCGTGCAGTGCAGTATGTCAATCGGTCAATGACTAATGCAGCTGTTCATGTCTTGTGCTTGATTCAGGAGAGCGCGGGAGGAGAAGAAACACGCGCGCAGAGAGGGCGATTTGGGGATGAAGCGCGCCGGGAGGAACCGCGCGGCGAAGACACGCCTCAGCAATGCGTCGTGCCCTCGTTTCTCCACGCCGCCCCACCTCGATAGCATTGAAGAACGGGTGACCAAATTTGGTCACATGCGCTCACGATTTGTGGGCCAACACTAGGACGTGGCGGCGATTTTTGGCTGCTCAACTACGTGGACCGCTCGGGCTGAATGCCAGCAGGGTGCACTGTGAATGGCCTGCCAGCCGCGCCCCTGCACGTTATGGCCAGCTGCAGTCAGCTCGTAGTAATGGCGAGCTGAAGTCAGCTCGTAGCAAGGGCATGTTTGGGAGTTTTATTCCGAAAAGCAGCATGCTGGTAACGAGTTTATGAGAATCTTTTCTAGCTTTGGTCTTCTAGTTCATTTTTTTATTCTATATAACTATAAGTTCTTAGAATCTGAATAAAAAATGAACTCTTTGGAAGAGCTTTTGATTCTGCGAGAAGTCACAGCAGCTATAAACTATCCAAACAGGCTCTAAGACATACTTCCTCTCTCTCTCTCTTATAATGTGTTCTTATTTATAGAAAAATTAAACTCTACTAAAAATCCATTAAACTTCCTAGATTCTCATCCTACCATATGGCACTTCTATAAACCCTTCTAAGCCGTCACATGACCTTTTAATAAATTGATGGACCCATAGTTAAGTAGATTTACATTTGCAATGAACCCGACATTATAGGGCATATATTAGATATGTTTTTTAAGAAAAGTTCATGTGCCTAGGTACGTGCTTACGTGAAAACCACGTTCGGTGCGTGTAGCTCACCCTTTCTATTCCTTTCGTATTCTATTTCAATGCTATATTAGGGGCTATTTGGGATAGGAGGAACTTATTTTAGTCCCTCTCGCAAAAGTTTCAGTCCCTAAGTCCCTTCCATCCAAACACCACCTTATTAACATAAAAAATCATTGGTATTTACAACAATAAATAAATTTTAAATTACTAAAACTGAATCTCCTGTCCTATACACCTACGTATGAACGTATGTACGCCCTCCTTCCTGTTCTGCGGCCAGTGTTCCCCTTCTATTGTTTCTTGTTTCTGTATTAGTTTTTTTTCAATAGTGGAATATAATATTTCGGCCTTTGCTCAAGAAAAGCTACAACTAATTATTACAAAGTAGCACTCGAGATAATAGTATAGTTCAAATAAAATAGAACACATTTAAATAGGAAAAGCCAAAATAAGGAGAACACATTTATTCTAGCTTATTTGTGAATCTCTATCCATAGTTTGCATAAAGTTGCATAACCATTGTCTCCAACTTGCGACATGCAACTTTCAAAAACTCTCCATCTTCATCACACCTTTGTAATTGTGCCCAAAACCGGAGCCAATGAGTTGCCCTGAAAATTACCTGCATATAGAAAATAGATGGTGATTTATCAAAAACCATATCATTTCTACTCAACCATAGAGCCCAACAAATGGCCGAAGCTCTGACAAGTATCAGTTTACTCTTTTTCTTGTCAACCCCCAAAAGCCACCTATCAAAAATATGAGATATACTAATTGGAAGGTTAAAACCAAAAGAAAACTAAACTGCTCTCCATATGAATTTTGCATAATGACAATCCATAAAGAGATGTTGAATAGACTCATTATTCATACAAAAGCAACACCTCAAGCTGCCGTTCCAATTCCGTCTCGCCAAATTGTCCTTAGTTAACACAACCCCTTTAAGCAAGTACCACATAAAGATCTTAATCTTAAGTGGCATCTTAAGCTTCCAAATACACTTATTTCTCTCAACATAGCCATTATTAATTAAAGCTAGGTACGTTGATCTTACCGAGAACCTACCGTTCTTATGGTAGTTCCATCTAAAACAATCAGAAGAACGATTCAACTGGATATGCACAATAGAAGCACACAACTCATGCCAATATACAAGATTTTGACCAACTAAAGCTCTTCTGAAAGCAACATTAAGCGGAACAGAACCCATGACAGTGGCAATAGAAGACGATCTCCTTCGGACAATAGCATATAAATATGGATATTTATCCTTCAAGGCCAAGTTGCCTAGCTATTTATCTTCCCAAAATCTAATTTGTTCCCCATCATTAACAATACAAGAACCCATATCTAAAAAAGTACTCTTGACTTTCATGAGCCCTGACAAAAATGATAATCACCTTGTTTCTGTATTAGTTAGAGGAACAAAATAGAAAACCCAAAAATAATACTGCTAATTTAAATTATTACAACTAAATTTATGACTCGAGAGCCAAGTTAATTACTCTTAAGTATATTTTAACATAAATTCAAACGGTTAGTAGAGTATTGACCATTTTGCAAGAGATGTGTGCATTAATTATATCAAGGTCCTTTTATTGTGGTTTTTTTAATAGAACTATCTCATGATGAGTTGCACTTAATGATGTTTTACTACAGTAGTATTTGGTGAAAACATATTATATTGATTTTTCCATGTCATGTTTGGAGAAGGACTAACAGAAACCTTAATAAGGCACCAAGATTTATTACCACGTCGTAAATTTATACTATAATGATTAATATTACGAAGTATCATTGGATTAGGGAAATTTGACCAACACCGTGTAAAATCCTGCCGGCCAAACCATTTAACACTCTAGCTCTAAAATCTACATTAACATGAACTCTATATGTTGATTGAGCGTTCATATGCATACTCCACTTACACTTCTATCCTCACTTCATATAAAAATGATTAAATATAGGTATTATATTTAAAGCGTCAAGACTGATTTATAAACAGACTTTTATCCATGTACAAAACCACTAATTATAACAACCTATGGCATATATGGGCCTCAACTACACCATCCTGTAGGCTTCAGACAAGCTAGGGAGTTGAATCAAGGGTCACCGGCCTGTAAGGTGGTGTTCTTCTCTCGTGAAGATGAACGTAAATTTTTTTTACGTAAAATGAGGTGGTATTAACGTATAATTGATTGAGTGTTAATTATTACAAACTTGAAAAATAGATTAATATGATATTTTGGAGCAACTTTTATGTAAAAAGTTTTCACACGAAACGTACCATTTAGCAGTTTGAAAAGTGTGCAACAAAATTCTTAATCTTCATCCAACTCTTGTTGGAGAAAAGAACATGACATAAGTATGAAAATTCTACCACATCAATGTCTAAATTTCATATTAATCAATGTCACCACATTTAAGTAAATTTAACAATAATTACAATAAAAATTGTGGATGACCAATTTGGAATCACTATATATCATGAGAAAAAGCTCACGAGTCATTAAGGAAAATAGAAATTCAGGAAAATAGAGGTATATCTCAAAATTCATAGAATAATTAGTTCAATATTATCTGTAGATCTCAGCTATAGTTTTATTGCTCAATGTATATACATGCAATCAAAGGCGTCAAATTCTTTACGTGTAAGCAAGCTTTGAAGGACCAATGACTGCATGATGGGGGGACTGCTATATACATTGATATTTTACAGAAACTTTATGTATAGATAAAAGATATTAGTCATCATAAAAGATTCTAACATTAATGGAAAAAAAGCCCATGGTATCGTGTGGGCTACCTTTCTAATTTGACTTAAATAATTACAGTAGTATTAACTATTATACATATTATATCATTTGACTTATATTTAAAAATACATTTATGTGTGATACTAATTTTAATTTTATAGTTGTTAGATTATATATAATATGAAATAAATTACAGAAAACCTACACTACGGCATCCCGTGGAGACGGGATCCCCTCCTCCTACCTCACTCCTCTCCCCAAAATCATCCGAATCCTGTCCTCCTACCTAACTCTCCTCTCCCAAATCACACAGCACTGCAGCCCTCTCTCTCCCTCTCCCCTTTCTCTCTCTCTCTCTAAAGAAGGCCGAGCGGAGACGAAGCCGGCCGGGAGGAAGGGGTCGTCTCCGGCGGCCGAGGAGGACGACGACGGCACTGCGTCGGCGAGGTCGGCCAACCCTCGGCAGGGTCACCCTCGAGCTCGCCTCCCCTCGCTGCGCCGCTCTAGCTCGCCGCCCTCGTCGGTCGGGTGTGTGCCGGGGAGTTGTCGCCCCGAGGAGGGCAGAAGCGGGAGCTCCCCTCGTCCTTGCCCTCGGCCTCGGCGTCACCGTCGTCCCTGCTGCGGCCTGTCGCTTTTGCGCCTTCGGTATGGACGCCGGCAGCCCGCGTCGACCTGCAACAGGTATGGCCATCAAACTCCTCCTCGGCTCCTCCTCGAGACTTCTCGCGCTCTCTGGCTCAGGCCTCGCTCCTCACCTCGCTGTGCCTCCTCGACGCCATCCTCCGCCGTTGTGGCCCTCCCTCTCCCACGTCTCCTCCTCCTTTTGACAGTACCCTCCGATACCTCACAAGTATCATGCTTGATACCTTGGTACCAAGGTCTGATACCTAGATATCACCCGGTACCTTAGGCACCGGGCATCAGGTATCGGTCGATACCTAGTTGGTACCAAAGGTACCAGGTACCAGGTACCAACCGGTACCTAAGGTACCAGGTACTAGGGGAGCACATGTCCCTCACCTCGCCGTGCCTCCTCGACGCCATCCTCCGCCGTTGCGGCGCTCCCTCTCCCACGTCTCCCTCATCGTTACCCTCTGATACCCCACAAGTATCATGCTTGATACCTTGGTACCAAGGTCTGATACCTAGGTACCACCCGGTATCTTGGGCACCGGGCATCAGTTATCGGTCGATACCTAGTTGGTATAGGTTCCAACCGATACCTAAGGTACCAGGTATTATGTACCAGGTACTAGGGGAGCACAGAGGAAAGAAAAAGAGAGAGTCACTTAAAATATTCCGTTGCAACGGTATCCGCCCTCAATAAATTAATAGTCACGTACTTAGAATTTGGGCGAGCAGTCAGCACCAATCACGCTGTTTCTGTTGACTTCTACTCCTACCAGATGCTACAGTACCTCCCGTGGGCCCCCACACTCCTACTGCTTCCCAGTGGGCCCCCAACCAGTCCACCATCTGCTCTGTTCCTGTGCAAGTCTGTAACCAACGCTACTGACCACCATGGACACTTGGACATATCACAGCACAAAACATTCCTCGCTCCATCTTCCGCTCCAGTCTCCATTCCCCAGCTCGTAGTAGTAGCTGCCTTCCTTTACACTATAAATTCCCCTACCTTACACACAGATGTGTCCAAGTGCTCATCAACACCGCCTGACTCATCCAGTGTGAGGCCGTGAGGGTGAGTGAACCCTGTAGCGGCAGTCATGAAGGTAAGCCAGCGAGCGAGCTAGCTATTCTACTCCACAGGACGCATGCTGCGTTGTCGTCGTCTTGTTCTACTAATAGTTTCTTGTTCCGTTTTTTCTTCATGATAATGGATTGATGCTGTGGATGTGCACGCGTGCGTACGTGCAGGAGAGGGTGAGGCGGCGGCGCATCCCGGCGTTCGGGGAGTGGAACTACGACGGCGACGGCGACCTTGGCGGTGGCGGCGGCTGCTATGGCTACGGCTACCGCGACGGCGACTGGCCGGTCACACAGTACTTCGACTCCGCCATGCAGGCCCGCGGCCTGGTCATCTCCCTGCCGCCCTCACCAAAACCACCCAAGAAGGTATAAACTTGTCTCCGCATCATCGTTCATTGGCAACACTTGCAAAGAAGGTAAACGTAAGTGTTGTTCTGAGGCGGATATACATCATGTTTTTTTTTTTATAAAAAACAAGATTTGGACAAAAATCGTGCTTAGTTTCATTTAATGGCTATCATGGATCTCTGACAGGGTAAAGAAGTTTTTCAAAAAGCACGATACATGGCGTTTGCATGTTGCAACCTGACAGTTTTTCTTACGGTCAAACTCACGCGGTAAACAGATGATTGGACGGTTGTCGCTGTTGATCTCTTTTTTTACCAGGCGGTGAAGTGGATTGACAGCGGCGCACTTGGGGAGGAGGAGGTGGTGGACGAGAAGCAGAGGCAGAGGCAGCACAAGGTGGTGGTGGGGCTGGCGGTGGCAGGAGGAGAGCACGGGGCGGCGAGGAAGCAGGGGAAGCAGAGCAGAGTGGCTGACGGCGGGGCCCATGCGGCGATGGGCTACAAGGGGTGCAGGCCGGCGGTGGTCAAGGCCGTGGACCGGGACCTCTACGAGATCCCACCCGACATGCTCTGCAACAAGCCAAGGGTAACGCACCTAGTACTCCGTATCTCTTGATCTCTCTCTCGATGGTGGTTAGTAGTACTCCGTAGGGGTCGCGTTGCACCAGCACCACTCCATTTGCGAGCCTGCACTGACATTTGTGCTTGTCTCAAACCACAACCTCGCTGACTCGTGTGATACCATTACATGAATCTTTTCTACTAGTAGTCTATCCATTTCACAGTGCTGATTTTGTTATTCCTAATTTTTTTGGGCCTATTTAGTTCGCGAAAAAAAAATTTTTATGTGTCACATTGGATGTTTGATCGGATGTCGGAAGGGCTTTTTGAACACGAATAAAAAAAAATAATTTCATAACTTACATGGGAACCGTGAGACGAATCTTTTGAATCTAATTAATCCGTCATTGGTACACGTGGGTTACTGTAGTACTTATAGCTAATTATGGACTAATTAGGCTCAATAGATTCATCTCTCATTTTCCTCCTTAACTGTGTAATTAGTTTTTTTATTTATCTATATTTAATATTTCATATCTGTATTTAAAGATTTGATGTGATGTTTTTGGGAAAAAAAATTAGTACTATCATTATGCTGAAAAAAAAATCATGTTCAGTAAAAAAAGTTTTTTTATGGACAACCCAACACGGATGCTTGTGCAATTATACTTAATGAAGAGTAGTTCACTGATGCTTGTGCTTTTCTTCGTTTCATGTGGTTTCAGAAGAGGGTGACCAGGAGCCTGTGGATGGGGTGCCTGGGACTCAGCTGCGTTGCCTAGGGATCTCACCAGATAGATCGATCGATCACACATACCAAACCTGCCTTGTTTTGCGTGTCGTTGTAAAGTGAAGCAGAAACCCATGGACGGACCCCATCGTGATCGATGCATGCTGTCACCACGGTCGCACGGCCCAAACTTTCCCATTCATCTATCTCCCTCACCTGTCTCAGCAGCACTAGTGTTTGGTTGGTGTCTCTCTGTGCGTTTTAGGAGTAGTAGTAAAATGAGATGGACATGGACATGATGTGTCCGGCAGCGTCATTTCCTCGTGCCAAAGACCACTCGAGTGCTGCCTCTCTCTCTCTCTCTCTCTCCCCTTTTGATCTTTTTCCGATGTGTTTTTTTTTTGTAGCCTCTGCTTGGTTGGTGTCCCATGAAATTACGGAGGCAGCTCGGTGAAATGTGGTTATATGGGTTGGTGCCTTGGTGGACACTCGACACTGATGAGTAGCAGTGGAAAAAGGTTGATGTAATGGAACGCTGTAGTCTCAGCTCAGGGGACTTGTGCCGCCCGTGGTGAAAAGAAAGAAAGGAAGAAAGCTTTCTGTTGATCCATGTCTTGCTAGTACTACTACAAATATGTGTTTATATAGGCCGAGTTTAGTTTTAAATTTTTTCTTCAAACTTTTAATTTTTTCATCACATCAAAATTTTTCTACACACATAAACTTATAATTTTTCATCACATCATTCCAATTTCAGCTAAACTTTTAATTTTGGCGTGAACTAAACGCACCGATATTCCGGCACTGTGCTGATAGCACCTTTTTCTGTCATTGATGTGACAGTGTGATTGTGCGATTATTATCCTGGGTGTTAGGACTACTTCAGTGATAAAGGCTGTGTTTAGTTTCACCTCAAAATTGGAAGTTTGACTAAAATTGGAAGTTTGAAGAAAAAATTAAAAGTTTATGTGTGTAGAAAAGTTTTGATGTGATAGAAAAGTTAGAGTTTGAAGAAAAAGTTGAGAACTAAACTCAGCCATAATCATATCTTCCAAGTTATACTTCTGCTTTCGGCCGTGTATTTGCAAGGGCTTCTTTTCCCTACTCACTTTTGATTTGTAACGTGCACATTTAATTGCTATACTAAGTAGTATTGTCAAGCTCAAAAGCAATTAATACCAATGCTGAATACTTGAAAGGAAAGGGGTGTGGCCTATCAGAGTTTTCCGTTTAAAAAACTAATTCCTCGCTATAGGTGGACTGGGATGATCGCTGATATGGCTATAAAGTCGCGTCCCGTATCAGATACGGCCACGGATACTGATACGTATCCCACATATTCACGATTGTAAAAAAACAAAATAAAATATAACTGACATCGGCATACTGCATTGGTTCGGGATGGAAGGAAAAACACATGTGCATGACGTGAGATACGCCAACGATACGCCCATGGTCTGTCTCCGTCTTCGCTCGCATCAGGGATACGCCGCCTGACGCGCTCCCAACCTGATGGCTGATGTCTTTTGCCTGTACCCGGTTGTTGGTGATATGGGCCCCGCGGTACACAAGATAGAGGGAAAGAATCCTTCGATCCGGCCACGTGGCCGCGCGGCCTGTCCCCCCGCCTCCCCCGGGGAGAACGAGCGCTCGTGAAGCGGCCAAGGGGCCTCGGGGTGCCCTGTCGCACCCCTCGGGCCCTTGGAGCATGCTGCCCCGAGGCCCTCACTCGGCTTCCACGTGGTGGCTGAGTGGGCGGAGGGAGAGGCGCTGCCAAACGTCTTAAATGAGCGGTGCCCCAACCGTCCCTCGTCGCGTTTAATGTGACGTGGGCGGGCGTGAGGCGCCGCCCGATTGACGTGCGTCAATCGGGCTTGATTGGTCTGTGACCGGTCATAGGCAGATGGGTGGCAGCGCACCCACGTCCTGCCCCCTGTCAGGCAGAGTGGGGGTAGGTATGCCTGTCCCATCGGCACGTAGCCGAGCGTGTCCCTCGTACACGAATCCAGAAAAGTCTCCATGGAATTAAGAGGGAATGATAAGGATGTCTCCCGTGTCAGCCGGAGGACGGCGTTGGGACCCACCTGGGGGCGAACGACCGCCTTGCTTTCGGTCGAAGGCAAGGACGACGGCTTGACCCAGGACATGTGGGCCCCATCCAATGATGGACTATGTAAGACGGTGCATGTGGTATCCCCTTAAACTATAAAAGGATGACCTTGTCCACTTAAAGAAAGGACGCCACTTGAGAAGCTTGAGCCTAGGGTTAGAACTCCCTTGTAACAGCACAAGCCTAATACCACGCACAGGAGTAGGGTGATACGCTTCCTAGCGGCTCGAACATATATAATCCCTTGTCTCTCATTCTCTTGCAAACGACCTGGTAAGCTAGATCCATAGCGGAGATACGCTCTTGATTATCGCGCCTTATCTCCCGGCCGAACTCACAAAGGGCCTCGCGACCTCCCGCTTGAGAGGATCACTCCTCGACACCGGCGTTGCCGCCAGACGCTGGTAGTAGCCGCGCGTGTTGCTGCCGTGCGCGGGGCCACAATGTCCCCTCCGCGAGAAGGCAGAGCCGCTACTGAGCAGAGGCGTACCTCCTTCGCCGCCAACCTCATAGGCCAGGACCATTGCCGCGTGAGCCATTTCCTCTGACACCGGGCATAGCGGTGGCCAGTGGCAGGCTGGCAGCATGGAAGCACGGAACAGCTTTTTCTTTGTTCGCTTGACTGCGTGGCCGGGTAAATCCATGCTCTTCGAACTTTTCATGCTTGAATGTGGGATCCCATGCTGTTTGAATAGGGACTGCAAGCTTAGCAGTTTTAGACCTTCAGTGCCGTTAGATCAAAGGATCCAACGATCAGGATATACGTAGGCCCTGTTTGGTAGGACTCCAAACTCCAAGGAGCTGGAGGTTATGTGAAAAGTGTTTGGCAAGCTTGGTCTGCTCCAGAACTCTAGAAACAGAGGATATGAGGGAGGTTAACAAAAGTACCCTTGTGGTTTTTTCTGTTTTTGTGATGTATGACTGATAACTGTTTATTTTTCTTTACAATTTCAGCAACAAAATGCAAGGTTAAAAATTAATCCACAAAATAATTGACATAATTAGTGAAAGCACCAAGTGTTTTCTTGGTTTAGATCTGAAATTTGTATAGTCTACCATTTTGTTCTCACTTCAATTTGTATAAACACATAATTTTTCACTTCTACATAGTTCTTATAAAACAAGAATCACCCATGACATACATGCAAAATCACCTATTGTTCTTTTGGTCTAGATTTCAAATTGGAAAAAAAATGAAAAAATGGTAGAGGGGATTAGCTCCTCACAGCCCTAGCCGCCGGCCGTGCGCCGCCGTCGGCCAGCTGGTCGCGTCCGCTGAGCCGCCGCCGGAGAGCCGCGACCTGCTGCCCGCCTGAACATCTTGATCTTGCGGCGCTCCTTCTCGAGCTGATGCACGCCTCCACCCCCGTCGCCTCCTTGGCCGCCGCCGCTGCCATCCTTACAGCGCTCTTCCTTGGCCGAGCCGCCGCCAGAGCACCGCCGTCGCCCTGCTACCCGGCTGTCAAGCCGCCGCCGGAGCACCGCGGCTTGCTGCCCGCCTACGCGTCGCCGAGCAGCCGCCAGAGCGCTGCGGCCTTCTGCCCGCCCGCGCCAAGCCACCGCCGAAGCGCCCTCGTCGCCTTGTTGCTCGGCCGCGCGCTACGGTTGGCCCGCCACTGCCGCCTATTCGCCCGCCGCTGCCGCCTCGCTCGATGGGTGGGACTTGGAGAGTTACGGGAGGGAGGTGAGGAGGTGGGGGTAGGTTAGTGGCAGTTTCACGTAAATATGTCAAATAATTAAAGGGTAGTGGGTCCTTTGGGGTTGAGTGGAGCTGTGGAGCAGAAAAACCCAGCTCCACCCCCTTAGTTCATTTTTTAGGAGCAACTCTACAAACTCCACTCTAGAAAACTTAGGATCTGGACCGTTTGGCACAGCTCCGGCTCTATATAAGTTGGAGTTGGGAGCTAGAGCTGTGCCAAACCGGCCCAGAGTATACCGTTTGCTAGCATTTGCTACAGGATTAATCTGCTACAGTAATCTACTCCCTCCATCCCAAAATAAATCTGCTTCTGGAATTCAAATTTTGTCCTAAAATAAATCAACTTCTACATTCTAATCCACTATCAGGTCATAAATCAAAAAAATTTATTCCTTCAATATCCCTTACCTACCTATCAATTAACAGTGAAATTTGGCAAGCCCCGAAGACGTCATCGGCCTAAAATCATTATCGGCTTCATAGTCCTGGAATCGGCCGATGGGAATTATCAAGTCGCCAATAGTCAGATTATTGCTGTATTTGGTTAAGGAAATTAATCTACTAAAGGAAGTTTATCCAGAAGTGACTGAGTTCAAGGAGGATGCAACATGACAGTTTATCTATTAGTTACGAAGAGTCTTTTTGTTTCCTTTTATCTTTAGGAAGGTGTGTTTAGTGTCCCATAAGGACTTTATGTTTCCTTTTTATCTTTAGAAAGGTTTCTTTCTTGGCCTAACCGGTTTGGCCGAACCAGGGTTTCGGCCGAACCCCTAGTGGGCCTAACCGGCCCCACTTTTGGCCGTTGGGTTCCAATGGTCAGTGTGGTCGTGGCACAATAAATTTTCATTGAAAATTTTATTTTTGTTTGAAAAATCATTTGAAAGAATTTCCTCAAAAATCAATCTTAAATGCAAAAATTTGAAATTCAAACATGCATTGATGCAAAAGTTCAAATTGTTGAAAATAAATATGCGGATACATACCAATTTACCTTTTGGCGAATATCGCGTAATTTTGGGTCCAACGTGCAAGACCGTACCTCCCTTCAGTTCAGATCGCGGATTTTCTGCCCGTCTGCCGAGTGGTGGAGCGGGTGTCTTTGGCTCTTGCTTCCACACCTTCTTTAGTTTTCGTGCGGGAGACGGCTTCTTCTGAGCCGGCTTCTCTAGCTTCTTAGCCGGTGTATTGAGTTTTACTAGCGTCTTCCAATAACGGTTCCTGGGAATCGTTGTTTCCTTTTCCTAGATATTCTGCATAAATTTTACCAGAATATTCATCTTGGGTGGCTCCACTTCGACCACTTGAATATTCTGCGGGTTTGCCCGTACTTAATCCGGACCATGGAGCATTGTTCGGTTCTCGGCTAGAACTCAAATTTCTCTTCTTTCTCGTTGATATGGAAACGGATGCTATCCGTTCCCACGTCAATGTTGGCTTCTGTGGTGCTAAGGAATGGACGCCCCAGAATGAGCGGCGTTTCCTTTTTAGTGTCCATGTCCAGCACCACGAAGTCCACCGGGATGAAGAAATCCCGTATCTTGACCGGAACATCCTCCGCTATCCTAGATGTGTAATGGACCGACGAATCAGCCAACTACAGGCTGGTGTTGGTTCCAATATCGTGAAGTTGAGCTTATCGAAGACGTCTTTAGGCACGATGCTCACGCTTGCTCCTAAGTCACAGAGGGCTTGGTCGAATTGCTGTGTCCCGATTGAGCAGGTGATCGTGGGACACCCGGATCCTTCTTTTCTAGGAGCTTCTGGAGTATGGCATTGCTGCACTGCTCCATCAGCTTGACCACCTTAGTTGTCGGAAGCGACCTTTTGTTATTGAGGATATCCTCGAGATAACACGCG